GGATTGAGATTGTTCCTTTGCTACCCCTACTTGAAATCTGTAGTTTGGGGCTTTATTTAAGGAGCTTTGTAGCTGCTGTTTTGAGGTTTTAATCTGCAGCACCTAATCCCTTCGTATTTACATGCATACCACTCGACTCTTTACATATTTTCTGAAATTTTAAAGGCATCGAGAGACAATTCGATTGGTTCTTAATTCTGAAATATCTTGCTTGCCTGGTTTTAATAAATTAAGGGAGGTTTACATACATACCAATTAGTGCCCATGCATTTACATATTTAACACCTAAATTAATCTTTACATTCATACCACTAAATTTTCGGGTGTTTGCATATGGAGCATTTGACTCCTATAAATTTATATTTCTAGCACATGAATTTCATTTTTCTGCCTCTAAATCTTTATGAATTTGGGTGGCTTATTTGTGAAATTTGAGGGCTTTTAACCGCCTTGTTTTATGAAAATATGAAAATTCATGCATGAATTCATTTTATGGAAATCATGGAAATTGATTCGTTGCTTGCATAATTTCAACATGAGGTTTCTACGATTCATCTAAGTAAAATTTATGGACTTGTTGTTTGGTTTCGACGAGTGTTGGGCTGCGGTTTGGCCCGGTTTTGGGAAGGTTTGGATACAATTCTCTGGTCTTTTTCATAGCTCATAAGGGCCACGGTTTCACTGTTTTCTTTGGCTGAATTTGCTGCACTTCGAGACTCGCTTTAGTGATGTTTGGGTGACACTTTATTCGTTAAGGTTGGAGTTGCAGTTTTATAGCTTTTAGTGGAGTTTGACTACAGGTTGAGACATGTAAGATGCATCTCTTGGGATTGTTCGTGGCTTGTTTAAGCCACTTGTTTGGGTGCTTTCTCGGCTGCCATTTTAGATGATCCATCTACATGCATCTGCGACTTTTATTTATCTATCTTCTGCCGTGCTTAATCCATGTTGAGGCCCTTTACATACTTACGACTCCTTTTTTCATATATATATACATGGCTAGCATCATGAATGGTTCCAATTATTTGCCTTGGGAGGCTCATTTGCAAAAATCTGAGATGTTGGGTTGCATTTTGAAAAAAATGGGAAAGGTTTATTCATCGTTTTCAATTGTTGGAGGACTTTGGTGCCTTGCATTTTAAAAATATGAAAGGATTCATTTATCATTTGCAATTTTCGGATTTTAAAATATTTACATATATAATTTCCAAATTTTGAAAATAGGTGCGTGGATTTTGCTTTTTTTTTATGTATTTACATATCTAACACCTAAACTTCAATCTTTACATACACACCACCTGTCCTTATGTGTTTAATTGCAGCACTTACGTATATACTACACAATTCTTATGCAGTTACATATGTAACACACGGTGCTTTGTTTTTTTTTTTTTGAAAATCTGAAAGGTTTATTTGGCAAATTGCAATATTTGGAGGGCTTCGGTGCTTTGCTCTTTTAGAAAATTTGAGAAAGTGATATCCTTATTGAAATGATTCAAGAATTTTGGGCTCTCTTTTAGACCTTTTTCGTACAGTTTTGAGGATTGCTTTACCCTTTACCCTTTCGATCTTTTGGGTAAATCAATTCCTCCTCTCTCTCATCCCCATTTTTTATTTTTTTTTCTTGCTTCTTGGTTCGATTTTCTGTGCTTATGTCCGATACATAAGTGCTCACATATAGCCTTTTGTTATATGTGAAACCATCAAGCAATGTCGCAAGTAGGTCGGTTTTATTTTGGGGCTCAGAGCGGTGATGACAAAGGCACACCGGAGATAGAACAGAATGATATACCATCCTACGACATCGAGATCCGATTCAGGAACCCATCAGGATCCGATTCAGGAACCCGGTGAGCTGTATGATGACAATATCATTCACCGACACAAGACTAGCGGGAGTTGACCCGAACCTTCTTAGGTTGTTGGTAGTCTTATGCCCGACAGCGCGATCGACTCGTGGACAACAACTTTTCAAAAATGATAACAACAGATACACATTTTTCTAAAACAAAAATACATTTTTTGGTACAAACAAAATTGATACAGCCCACTTTTTGCATGTTTAAAACCTATGTGCATGCTTAAAATATAAATTTTAAATACATTTTAAACATTAGTTGTCCACCTGTTAATCACCTGTTTAGGCTAAGGAGTACACTCCTGAGTTAGTCCCTCCTGAGTTAAGTTCGATAAGACACCCTTCTAGTTGAGTGACAGACTTTATACATCCGGGTGACTAAGTAGCCTTCAACGACCCTCGAGTACTAATATATAATTAATCCTAGCCTCGACCCGAGTGCTTGCGGTCCCCCTTTTTTATACTTTTTCATATGTTTTCTTGGAATTTTTGGACAAAGCACTCGTGGTATCTTTTTGGAATTTTCCCGTGTTTTCTATGATTTTCATCGATTTGTCGATTTCCTCGCATTTTTCTTGTCACGAGTCTTTTGACGATTTTCTTTTCTCAAGATTTCTAGACGATGTTTCTTTGCTTTCGTTTATATAAAACATTTCAGTCTGCTTCCTCAAATTTTGTTACCTGATTGCATCAATTACATCTAAGGAATTGTGGATCTCTCAGGTATACAGGTTTGCTTTGTATTTACAGCATGTTACTTTCTTGCAAATCACCTACATGCTGTACTTCTTACTTTTCCTTTACACTGCATGTTGTATTGTTCTCTTCACTGTATACTTTACTGTTTGTCCTGTGCTACATACTCTACTGTTATACTATACACTGTGCAACTTCAACATGTTCCCTATAAAATGTTTAAAGAACCACAACCATAAGGCCGCTGGATTTGACATTATAACCTGACACCCTAGAAAACTTAAACTCGTCACGACAAAGAACTTGGAGCTAGCATTGTGGGCAACACAACCATCTTCAACAGCAAAACATGTCTACATCGGCAAAACTTTTCCTTAGAATTAACAACAAGCCATAAGATTTCGAGGTAGTCTGCTTAGCGCGACATAAATCCTCATTTTATCTTTTAGGCTTTTGCACAGCCAGGCAGCCAGACTGTGCAATTTAAGCCCTAACTCTTTCTAGGTTCCGAGGTCGTCGTCCGATGCGACGTAAACCTTCATATCTTCTAGGCGATTTGTGTGACTGTGTCACGCAAATATAAGCCATAATTAAATAAAATTCATAATTAAATAAAATAGCCATAATTAAATAAAATTGGCAGGATGAAACACTTGAATAATTTCTCCTCGAAATTGAAGCCAACCCATATGATAGACTGGGAAGCCACCGAGGTTTGCCTTCGGATCTATGACCTCCCATAGTCCTTCCTCGTTTTGATTCCTCAAGAATGTTCTAAATTTGAGTCTTCCCATTTCACTATGTGGTCCGATTTCGTTGAAAAGTCATATCCTTTTGACCTCTTTGAAGATAATATTCCCTGATTTTTATCGAGAGTTTTCTTAAGTGACTTCAATCATTTAAGATGTAATTAACTATAGGGGCTTGCCCTTATAGGAAGCTTTTCCGAACTAAGCCTACTAATATAAACCCTATTTAA